TTTTATTTTCCCTGTGTGTGATTTAAATAAACCTTATTCTTTTATTTGTTAAAAAATCCATCCCTGGTCTGTGTGACTTCTTACAGGGAGACGCTGGTGGCAGCTTAGTGAAACTGTGGCATAACCCTTGACGAATGTTTTAATCCTTGTGTGATTTCCCATCCAGTATTCTTGTCTCCTGTTCTCAATCATGTATAAAAACAAACAAGGCATTGAATGAATGAATTAATAATTAAGTTTGTCCGTCCGTCCCCCCCCCCTTGCCCCAAAGTCTCTGGTCTTTCCCCTTTTTCCCCTGGAACCGATATAGAAAAAGGGAACAAGCCTGGCGCGACCCCCATGGGAAGGGGGCCTCGAATCAGTAGGTTTCAAAAACCCCAGTTCCCGGCCCTTTTGCAAACAGAGGTGGCCCCTTTTGCCCCTCAGCCCGTCCTGGCCCCAAAGTCCAGCTGCAAAAACCGCTGGATGGAGGGGTCTGGCTGCAGAGACAGGTCAAGAGAGGTTCGGGGTTCGATTCCCGCCAGGGCAGGGGTGGGCAAAATGCGGCCCTCCAGATGTTGCTGAACTGCAACTCCCATAATTCCTAGCCCACACGGCCAATAGTGTGAGGAGATTTGGGCCTAGCCCACAGTGAGGAATGCTGGGATTTGTAGTTCAGGAACATCTGGAGGGCCGCACTTTGCCCAGGTCTGCCCCAGGGGCTGGACTCCATGACCTTTAGGAGCCCCTTCCTGATGGGCACTTCTGAGAGGATGATGATGATGAAAAGTGGATTACAGCGAGTGAAGATGGCCAATGAGCCGTGGCCTCGTCATCGGCCCCCAAAGCGATCTCCTCCAGGTCACAAGGAAGCGCGGCCCGCGAAGAGAGACGGCCTGCCAAGAGAAAACCCTTGACTCAGCACTCTTAACATGCCCCGGAGCCCGAGGGTTCCACCTACCACCTGTCCACTGAGGAAAATGGCACAGCAGCAGCACCCCCATGGGCTTCCTCTGGAGTAACGAGCGGGACGGTCCGCCCGCCAACCGGTCTCCTCCGGGGCAGCCAAGAAGGACAACCGGGACCCGCCCCGGAGCTCTTCCTCCTCGACAGAAGGAGGCCGCCAAGGACCGCCCTCGGGCAGGTCAAAGGTGCTTTGGAGTCTCTCCATTGGACTGCAGACTTGCCAATCGATGGGCCTTCAGACTGGCAACCAGCAGGACCAATCACAGTTAGGCACAGACGTCAGGTAGGCCAACAAGTCACACCTTGGCAGAAGCCACATCCAATCACAGCTAACCAAAAGGGGAAGAGCAGACCGATGCATAAAAGTACAGCTATTATTGGATTGCATAACATAACTGGCAGGCAACAAACCAATAAGAGATAAGCTGCCTCTCCCACCTCAGGGGATATTTGCTAGTCCCTCCCCCTCTGCCGCCCCTAGAGCAACGCCTTCCTGCCTCCTTATAGCTTCCTTGATTGGTCGGAGGGGGCCCCACCCATGGCCTCCTCCAACTGAGCGTCCTATTGGATAGCTTTGGTGACGCTACACGGCGCGACAAAAGGGCGCGAGGGTTTGAACGCCGGCTTGGCCGCGTTGCCATGGTGACGCGGCCTAGGCGGCGCTTCTGGCGCGGTTTCGGGGAGCTTCCCGCGCGCGCACCGAGGGAGCCGCTCTTTGGGCTCCCAACTCAGACGGAAGGGGCCTCCTGCGGTGGAGGCCGAAGAGGTTGGGGGGGCGCCTTCCCTCCGGCCTTGACCTCTGCCCCGTTGCCAGGGCGACAGGGATACGTGGTGACCGGCGCGTCGCCCGCCAAGCTTAGCCGGAGCTGCTTCTTCTGTCCTGGAAGTTTGTTCAGGAGGGAGAAGACCTGAGGTAATAACGCCCCGCTCGCCTTCAGACGGACTTTCCCTCTAGGGCGTTTTTAAAGCTTGGGGGTGGGAGTGGGAAAAGAAGGAATGAAGGCGGTCATGGGGGGGGGGGAAACAATCCTAAAATCCGCTGGAAGCCCCAGGAGAGTCTAGAAGCCTTCCAGGCCATGGAAAAGCATCACCTTTAATGGGTGGGTCATTGGATTTTATTTTATGTTTATCCTGCAGCCACCGAGAGTAGTGGCCTAGCCAAAAAATGGGTGGGGTTAAAATTACTAACTAACTACTGTAACTAACTAACTATGTCGCTAACCAACTAACTAACTGCAGAGCTGGAATTCCCTGTATGCCTCACTGAGTTCAGCTGAAATGAGGAGCAGCCAATGCTTACCTTACATCTGTCCTGTATTTTTTTTCTTTTTAATTGCAAAGATTGTGTGCTTGGTGATGTTAAAGAGGTGGCAGGAAGCCCTGCTTGGCTGTTCTTTGAAAAAAAAAAAAAAAAGTTCCAATCCATAGTTTATCCAGAAGTTCAAATGTTTGCTAGCTGTGCTGTCCTGTCGGCTGTTTGGGTCACTTGGAATGAGATGCCGAGGGTTGTTTTCCTTAATTAAGATGGATCACAGAAGGCAATGCTTCCCCCCCCCCCCTTCAGTCCCGGTAGGATCCTCTCAAAACCATCCAAGTGATGAAATTAGCAAATTTAAAAGTCAAGATAAAATAGGGCCTGAGACCATGGGAAAAACCGAACTTGGGAGACTAGCAGATCTTAAAAGACCTGTGAATAAGGAAAGGAAAAGGGAGGAAATCTCCTGGTGAAAAAAAAACCGGGGCTGGCTGTGTTGGTTTGTTTTTGCAGGAGGAAAAACAGGGTCATTGTACTATAAAACAAACAAACATGCTATAATGCCTGCCTTGGAAAGCTAATAATAATAATAATAAGCTTCTTGTCTTCAAATAGCATAAGTCTCTGTTGTTTTCTCAGGGGAGAAAATTGCAAAGTTCTGGAATCATAGACACCAACATCCTACCAACCAAGCACCATTGCTTTTTTTAAAATTTGCAATGAGAGCAACCCTGTTAAAGAGAGGAGTTCCCTGTTGTGCCTTATTTTGGAATTCGTATGCCATCCAACTAAACTTCTTCAAACAGAGATGGCTTCTGGAAATTGAGCTGTTTATGTGGGAAGAGTTGCTACCCCTGTTTTTAACTGTCTGTACTACTCAGTGTTTGGGAGGAAAGCGATGACAAACCTAGACTGCATCTTAAAAAGCAGAGACATCACCTTGCCGACAAAGGTCCACATAGTCAAAGCTATGGTTTTTCCAGTAGTGATGTATGGAAGTGAGAGCTGGATCATAAAGAATGCTAACTGCCGAAGAATGGATGGTTTTGAATTGTGGTGCTGGAGGAGACTCTTGAGAGTCCCCTGGACTGCAAGGAGAATAAACCTATGCACTTTCTGAAGGAAATCAACCCTGAGTGCTCACTGGAAGGACAGATGCTGAAGCTGCGGCTCCAAGACTTTGGCCATCTCATGAGAAGAGAAGACTCCTTGGAAAAGACCCTGATGTTGGGAAAGTGTGAGGGCAAGAGGAGGAGAAGGGGAGGACAGAGGACGAGATGGATGGACATTGTCTGCAAAGCGACCAACATGAAATTGACCCAACTCTGGGAGGCAGTGGAAGACAGGAGGGCCTGGCGTGCTCTGGTCCACGGGGTCACAAAGAGTTGGACATGACTTAACGACTTAACAACAACTACTCGTTGTGCCCGGCACAGTTCTTTTCTTTCTTTAGTCTCCTCTGTAGTGTGGATTGAGCCATCTTGAGAGTCAGTAGAATGGCCTTCGACCAAGCAATATCTAGGTTCAGATCCACACTCTGTCATGCACTATAGTGGGCATTGTTGATCCAGGAACCTCCTTTTGCCCTTACTTAATACGCAACTTAATAACTTACCCTGGAGAATATAAAAAAAGGTGTTTGGAAAAACACATATGCTACTCTGATCTTCTTGGAGGAGAGGCACGATTTTAAAAAGGTACAAATAACAAACAAAACTTGTCTTTATCTTTTCTCTACCAGTTTATGTTGCCTGAAAGACCCTTGCATTGAAGACTTTTTACAAGCATCATGAGCTAGGAATACCTGTAGGCATGTCCCAACGGGCTCCCTGATGGTCTCTTATTTCAGATGAGAGTTTGCTGTGATGACAGTAGGCTCCTTGGAGTATGTCATCTCTGTACTATTATAAATGTACAGGGCTGAAACAATATTTCTTTCACTCCTGAGTTCAGATAACTGTTTTCCGTTCAGAAAATCAATCTGATTGAAAATTGTGAGATCTGTCCTTCCAGCATCTTCTACCTTCCTGCAGCATGCTGGCTATCAAGACTGCAGACTGAAGACAGAGAATAGCTTCTGTGCTTGTGGGTTCACTACTTGTTTGGTATGTTTGGGCATGCCTCAGGATGACTAAAATGCAGCTGCTTGAGGAAGAGCAATGTCTTGTAGATATTTTAAAGGGACTCCCTACGCACAAGTGCATTTCATATTGTGGGAGCAATTTCTGTGCGGCACAGGTGGCCAGGCCATACCATCATACCAGATATGTCTTCGGTTTTGCCATGGCATAACATACCTTGCACCTGGTTTATGTGTGCAAGCAGAACACCAGTTGGTGACACTTAGAAAATTTCCAAGTAGGCATATTGAGGTATCAAATATCAGGAAAGCATTAATTACGTTAGCGGTGAAATTGCAGACAGAGACACCCAAGTACAACAGTATAGAATCGCATCCCAAGTTGCTTAGAATGACTTTTATAGTTATAGAAACGAACAGGAGAGTAAAAGAAACTATTTTCTTTCAAGTAGGTTTTTCTTATAGGATGCACCCAAGTGGAAATGTTCCTTATGGCATCTTGCGTTTTGCCTGTTTATTTGCTGCTCTCTCGGGCAGGAGCAGGGACGTGGTGGCGCTGTGGGTTAAACCGCAGAAGTCTCTGTGCTGCAAGGTCGGAAGACAAGCAGTCGTAAGATCAAATCCACATGACTGAGTGAGCCCTCGTCACTTGTCCCAGCTCCTGCCAACCTAGCAGTTCGAAAACATTTAAATATGCGAGTAGATAAATAGGTACCACCTTGGTGGGAAGGTCACGGTGTTCTGTGTCTAGTCGCGCTGGCCACGTGACCACGGAAACTGTCTATGGACAAACGCTGGCTCTACGGCTTTGAGACGGGGATGAGCACTGCGCCCTAGAGTCGGACACGACTGGACTAAATGTCAAGGGGAACCTTTACCAGGCAGGAGCCATCGTTGTCCTGTTTTTTAGAGGATAGTATGCCTATGTAAATTATGTTATAGAGTCTTGTTTACAACAAAGGAAATGCGGGAATACCAGTGTTGTCTTTACCGCTTAGCAGAGAATGGCTGAGGCAGCAGCATCCTTGTCCTGTTTTTCAGAGGATAGTATGCCTATGTAAATTGTTTTATAGAGTCTTGTTTATAACAAAGGAAATGCAGGAATGCCAACTTGTCTTTACCGCTTAGCAGAGAATGGCTGTTTCCCATAATATATTGGATTTAGTTGTACTACGAGGTACAGGGAAATCACACTGGCTGTATTTGGTACATCAGTACGATTGCTAAAGTTTAATACATAGCTGCCTTGAGTCCCCTTATTGGGAGAAAAGCAGCTGATAGAGAGGTAGATAGAACTTGTGGTTACACATTGTATGGAGTGATATCCTATCTCTTACGGGTACTTGTCAGTAGTGTGGGAGAAAAGGCAGAGCAGAGGCATGCCTTTTGCCACTTGCCCTGGGGCAAGTGTGGCCAGCCTTGGTGGATCTTTCCACCCTTGAGTCTACTTCCCCCGGGACACACTGTCAACCGTAACAAAATAAAACTTGAAATGTCTAGATAAAATTTGCTGTTTATGAGTGTTAAATGGTGTGGGAAGGGAGCTGTAAACTTTTTAGCGATCACTTGCCACTTGTGAAGGCTCCTGGGAGCTAAAATTCCCTTTTTTTAAACCTGAAAAAGAGGTTAGAAAAAGAAGTTTCAGCCCAGCCCTACATTTTGCTAACTCCTGCCCTAAGCCAGAAAGCATTGCCTAGCTAGGCAGCTGTCATGGGGCAAAGTTCTCATACAGTTGATGCACGCATATAGGTTTCATGCAGTTGAGAACAAAGAGCCGAAGGACATGGGTGAGTGAATGGCCACCTTTTCATGTACCTACGCAGGGCTGTAGTAAGATACCCTGAAGTCTTGTGCTAGGATGCAGAAAATAAGTTCTCCATCTCACTTCTTCACCTGCACTATGCAATCAGTTGATTTCATTGGTATTGAAATTAGGGTTGACATTCCTTCTGAGCAGTTTTACTTGTCAGGCTCAGCAATTCCTCAGAGTGAGTTGCTGCTGGGCATCCTACTGGAGATGGATTCTTGGTATGCAAAAAGGACCAGTTTTCAGAACTGAAGCCATCAGACCTCTACCCATTGTAGATGTTGTTAGAGATTTGGGGGAAAACCGGGCAGAAACGAGTGAGTGGCACAGGGCTGGCTTCTTTTCTAGCCTATGAATATAGCAGAGCTTGAAAGAACCCTGCTTCAGAGCTGAGCTATACCCCCTCTCTGGATTTTCAGTTAGACTTTTCCTTTAAAGGGGTTTGGGTAGCAAATAGAAACCATAAGTTCAGTTCTTGGTGTTGTCTTCAGCTGTGGGTGAATTCAGTAAAAAGCAACATGTACTCCTTTCTTCATTGCTAGCTTGTGCCAAGGACAGGACTGTCAGCGACATAGTTCTAAGGCCCTCTTTGGGTTTTGGAATGTCTTCTGAACTGGGAAAAAGACACTCTTGATGAAGTCCAAGCAGCTGCCCCACCTCCAGCCTTCTTGAAAGGAGGAAGCGAGTTGCCATGTAACAGGAACCACTAACACAAGAACTGAAGCAATAAGTATGTAACGAGGCATTTCCCTTTATATAGACACATAATGA